TGAACTTTTGAAAAGACAATATATTTTAGAAGGCCACTCCTAAGATCTTGTGGGTATGAAACCACCAGACAGACCAGAACTGTTCACTTTTTAGTATTTCAGAAATAAAATAGTAGCAATATAGTTCTTGCCTAGTTATTGAAATAGTCTAATTTTGATAAAATACAATTTGTATATATTTATTAATATGCAAAATATTTATTTAATAATAAAATAATGTGTGTCCATCTTGCCCTGACCATGTTTTAGAAAGTTTTTAATGTTCCATATAGACAGGGGCAAGGTGGCATGTTAAATTTTGAATAAAACATTTTTATTTCCTCTTTTTCCATGACGATGTCTCTTATTATGGTGCTCTCTTTGTTTTTAGACCCTGCACTTTCTTTACCACCTTCTCTATTCTAATAATATCTACGTGCTCTGTTCTTTTCCCATTATTCATTAAGTAATCCCCAAATCCACTCACTTCCCCATATTAGATTTTTTTAATGTCCATCTTCTACACTGGTCTCATTGAAAGCTCAATGTTCATAGAAAACATGAGTTAAGGATCCACTGGAAGGATTTTTTAAATTATGCGAATCTACTCTATGGAATCACTGGTCTCTGAGATGCACCTACTGTGGTAATTTTGTTGGAGTGTTTACAGTGTAGGATTTGTGATGAGGGTAAAGATTCTGTTGGAAACAGATTTATTATACCATCACCCCATCACCCAGGAGAGTGTCAATATGTGCAAGCTCTTGGGCCAATAAAGAGGGACAGGAAGAATGAGATATTCACATCACGGATATTATTAGCATAACAAATATTGTGTAAGCTTGCAATGTACTCGCCAACCTTGAAAAATAGTGTAGGACTGCTTTTAGAGTTTTTGTTACAAATAAAATTTAGAACAAATTAGGAGAAGAGTGGGATTCTATTCTATCTGCTTTCACAGCTGTAGGAGTATCAAAATATTTTTCCTATTGGCTTGTGAACCTACTCACACACATATATTTTTAAGATTAATTCTTTCTTTAAATGAATTTTATTATTGCTGTACTGGTCAAAAGGATTCAGAATAAATATGTGACCTCAGCCTTTTGCTAAGCATGGCATTTTCTACTAGTGGATAATAAAATAATTTTAAGAGGTGTTTAGAATTATATTGAAAGTAGAAGGTAGGACTAAGTTTATTATTTAAAGAAAACATATATATTTCTGTGCCAGCATAGGTGTAATGTACAGCTTTTTAGATAGTCAATGAACATTGTAGCATATTTGCAAAAAAAAAAAATCTGAAGGATTTGATCTGAAGGATCTGAACCCCTTTATTATTTTAAAAAGACAGGAAAATCTGAAGTTGCACAGTTATTCATGCATGTCAGGTTTACATTTGCTCAGCTGGGGCAACCTGCATTTGCTTAGCCACAGATGGATATAAAGAAGATGCTATTCATCTGAAACAATGATCCTTTTACTTATCATAGCTTCTGTGTGATGTACATGTCCCATTTAAATGAAATTATCTTCACAGTGTCATAAAATATTCATTAAAAATTTTCAGACAACTTGCAATTCAAAATGTTTCACAATATCTGCTATGGATTAAAAGGGTTTTGCTTAGTTTGATTTGTTTTTTTTAACCATTTCTTAGCTGACATTGTTTTTACATGTATATGTATTTTATTCAATAATCAGTCTTATGAATTTATTCTATTTTCAAATCCTGCTTTAAAGCCACATTTTGTGATTTATGTGTGGCATAAATGAGAATCAAGGATCCCTAATTTATAAACCTGTAAAAATTTGGTGTAGTACAATTTGGATTTCCAAAGGGGAAAGTTCACAAAATATTCAATGACAGTTTGAATTTGTTAGGTGTGAGTGTTAATTTATATGGGGAAAAAAAAAGGTAATGGATGAGGAAAACCATGGGACCAAGGCGAATATTTTCAAGACACAGCATGAAATACCAATACCATTTTTCTGTTAGTTTTCAAAATTAATTCACCCTGGAAAATGACTTTGGAGCTGATGTTAGTAGCAATGAAGAAGCCAGCATATTCCAGCTGAGGCAGGTGTCCTGCTGGGAAGCCCAGATAGGGCAGGTCTAATTCCTGAGGCTCCAGCTGAGCTTCATGGTTTTATGCCAGTGGTGATTGAAGGTCCATTTCCTTTGGGAAGCACTTCACCAACCTTCAGCCATCATTCAGAGCTAATTTCTGCATATCCAGCAGCCAGGTCTGTGGAATGCCTAGTAAAACTGGACTTAGCTGAGTTGCACATCAGATATTTGGAGACTTCCTTGTCCTTCGTCCTCCTGATAGAAGGAACTCACTTTTTGTAGCCACAAATCAGTTGTTCCTTTCCCATAGACGAAGTGACCAGCTATGCCTGCGCTGAAAATATTTTCTGAAGTTGGGTATAGCAGAAAATGCAAATTCTTATCTTAAGGAACACACAGAGGAAAATGGGCTGCAAATCCCACTACCTATACACCAGTTTCCTTATCTTGCATTGTAATTCAGTGATTAAAAAAGATCAGTGTACCTCAATTCCTTCTGCCAGAAAGTGCTAAATCCCCAAGTGAGAGGTGACAAAGACTAAAGAGGCCAAAGAAGTTCCTTCCCCTGGTGATTAGGAGGAGCCTGTGACAAAGGGCTGTCAGGGAAGAACCTGTGGGACAAAACGAATAAAGAAGGGAGTTTTATTCATCATTTTCTGAAGGAGATGAATGTAAGGTGTTCTCATTTCATTACTTTGAGTAAGCGTGTGCTTCTCTTGACACCTTTCTCAAATCCTGTCCCTCTCCAGATTCATTTTATATACAATCATAGAAACATAGAACCATTCAGATTGGAAAAGATCACAGAGATCCTCAAGTCCAGCCATTAACCCAGCACTGCAAAGGCCTCCACTAAACCATGTCCTTACGTTCACATTCTTTTGGAACACTTCCACTTTTGATGCCGCAATAGAAAATTTGATATTTAATACAACATGATTCTTTCAGTCATGCTTATTTCAGTCCTCTTGAATCCTGTGAATTTGATGAGGATATAAATGATGTATTGACTCGTGGCTGTCTCAGGCGAGAGGAAAAACATTAACCATGAGTTCTGCCTGTCCTCTTAGAATTTTTGTTTCAATTATAACTACAGATTTTGTGACGCAGGCATAGCTCCAGAAGGGAACAGAATGAGATCAGATGCAGAATAGTTTGGGGTGTTTTTTTAAAAAATGCTTGGCAAGAAAAAGTAGCAGGTAGTGAAGCAAATTGAATTTATTTGTGGTACAGGGCCTCAGAAAGCTGGGAAAGTGTAGGCATAAACCATATGAACAGTATCTCTGCTAGGTGCCTCAGCTTCTAAGAGCAAACTAGGCAAATCACATCAGACATGAATTTGTTCTTCATAAACCACCAACAGCAATCAGAACAGAGGTGGCTAAAAATCTGTCATGATTAAAAAAAACCAAAACAGGTATCTCTCCTGGAAATAAAAGTGTCAAATGTGCATAGTGCTTAAAAGTGATGCATCTGAAAACATGTAATACAGAAGACACAAGTGTGACTGTACATAGATTTATTGCCCTGTAATATATATGGACTGAATGAGCTTTTTCTTACACAGTTACCCTCTCTGGGTATCTATGAATTTATAATGCTGCTTCTTAGCATTTATATTTGTCTAAAGATGCAATAATTTATTAACATGCTAATAAATGTTTAATACTTCTTCTCTTTATCATTTCATAAAACTATCTCCCTAGCCTCTGTTTCTTGAAAATATGAGGACAAGCATGAAACTAAGACAATGCTGTTTGAAAAGTCAATGCATTTATATGCAGATTTTTTAAATATCTCACATCTTGCTCATAACCTCTGTTGTGCATTTTGTTGAAAGCAGCTGAGATGTTCAAGACATGAGGCAAAATCTCATGTTAGATTTCATGTGTTGTGACTGATAATAATGTTTCAGGTGGGCTACTTTTTTAAACAACTATCTATGAATTTTAATGCCGGAAAAAAAAAATGGAAAGAAAATGGTTTAAAAATCAAGCAGTATTTAAAAAATTCTCTTTGACCCTTTTTTTCCCTCTTCTATTTAATTAGAATTAACAATTTAACTTTTGAAAGGTTTTTATTTACAACTGTCATTGTTTGGGAGATTAAAATTAGTTGAAATTCAAACTTATGAGGATGAAGCAACAAAGAAAGTGTTACTTCCCAAGTTCATCTATTTGCTATGATGTTACTGTAGTCACTGAATACCCAACTTTACTTTCATGGCTTTTCAAGGCCAATGAACTTCAGATGTCATGTTATGTTAGACAGGACATGAAAGTTTATGTGTTTCTGCATAAATTGGAATTTTACTTCCAGTTCATAGTTTTCCACCTATTTCATTTTCTATTTTCATAACTTGCCACCTATTCCAAATGGCAGAATGCAGTTTTCCTGAAGTCTCATGTAACTTTCCTGAGTTACATGAGTTAATATTCAGTCATGAAACATTCTCCTCAGAAGAAAAGTTTTCTGGGTGGTTAAGAGGAGCCTTCATCTGCTGCATCAAGTTTAATGAATTAGGTATCACTAAATACACCAGAAATGCCACAGTTAGTGGCATTTTATAGCACTGTGAAAACCTTTATGAATCAGTTCTGTAAGTCATGTTTTGTGGTTTTGTCATGGCAATTTTCATCTGTATGCAATATCAGATTAACAGTATTTACCAAGTGTTAAAAACATGTAAGATCTTAACACAGAAGTAGTACAATGAAGTTTGGAAATTAAGACAATTAAAGAGGTTTAATTAATATTGTTCTTCATTTATCAGTTTTGAGTTATCAATGTAGAGCCAATGCACTGTTGCAGAAGTAGACATTAAAAAAATTATGCTCACAACCTGAGCTAATACTTGCGTGAGAGATTTATGCATGTGTTCTTCTGGCTATTTCTATTTAATGGTGGTGATATAATTATTTTTTCTTCCCTCTCTCTTTTTCCTCTGCAGCAATGACAATGCAGTTCATTAGTCATCGGTTCCCTGACTACCATGACCCAACTATAGGTGAGTACAGGTTTTTCTCACCTTCACCTTTCAGTTTCTCTGCCTGTGTGAGACCGAGACTGAGACAGCTTCTAAAAGACCCTTAGATAGAAGCAAGATTTGAAAACTTTAGATTACACCTTAATTTCATGATGAAAATTGAGTTGTGTCCTGGTCTTACCACAGATATTTCTTCCTAATGCACTTCATGCAAAATCTCTTTCAAAAACAGGATTCTGCCAATGCATTGTAACTATTAATGTCATGCACTTATAACTACAGAATATGAAACAAAATTGCCAAAGAATATGAAAACTCCAATCTGGAGTGGGGTTTGTTTGTCTGGGTTTTTTTAAGTTCTGTTATTTTAGTGCTATTTTCCAGTATTAAAGTCTTAGCTGACCTCCTTGAGCAACATCAAATGACCACTCAATTTAATACAGTTGTGCTCTGGGATTACACACTCTGCTAACTTTGTTGGGTTTACCTACTTGTGATTATAGAAATTCACACATATCTATTTTACACTTTATGATAATATATGTCTTTATCTGTAATTAATCTGTAATAACTTTAAATGCTGAGTGACTGTCAGACCTTTATGTTTATTAATTTGTGTCTTTATTACTTAGTTTTATTTATACTTGCATTTATACACACTATGTGCAATATTTAATTGTAACAAGGAAAAGATGGCAGAATCTGGGTCCAATAAGTGGAGAAGGCACTAAAAACATCCACATTTACAAAGAGTTTTTTGGAGGGAAAAAAGAGAAATCAATTCCTCTTAGCCAAAAATTTTTTTGTTTTCTTTGAAATTTTCAAGTATTTCCAACTCACCTTTTACTTCTATAAAATTATTGTATTGCTCTACAGAGCAGACAATGACATTTTTTATCTTTATTTTTTATTTCTATAGTATTCCACATTTCCTGGATTTTAATTCTTGGTAAATGGTCATAACTTTAATAAGGAAAAAATGTATACACTCTTCATGTCACTAGTAATTTTATAGCTGTTAAAAAAAATTGCAAAACACCAATGGGATGTGTCATCTCTAAAGAAGGCAAAACTACTGTGGAATTGCTACAAATTCATTTGCTTTTCTCAGGAAAAAAAATTAAATCATTAAATCTAATTGGAAAAGAGGAACATTATTAGTTATTGACATCACTAAATTATGTACATACATCCATCCTTATTATTAGCTATTCACCTGCCATCAGTATTTATTCTTATATTGTATCTCATCATAATCTTAATTTATTGGTCTCTAGACACCACCACAATATGAATAATATATAATCATGAAGAGAAGGAAAGCTTATAGTGCATTCCAAGCACATACTGCAGGAATGCCTTGAGGACTTGATCAGGATGAAGGTCTCCTTGAGTGAGAAAGTGTTTCTACTCAGTAAAACCAACACTAAAGAAGAGGAGAGAGGGTAAAAGTGAGCAGGGAATTATTGAATTCCCTCTCACCCAGCTGGCTAGACATAGAACTGGAAGTACAAGTTTTTCTCTTCAGCACTTCTCTTTATCAGATCATGATGAGGACAACCTGAAAAAGTCTTACTACTATCTGAGTTCTAAAACGCATACTAAACAGAAAAGAATGATCTTGGGCTAAGTATGTATGTTTTTCCTTAGGAAAATTTGTTGTATGACTCCTTAAAATTGTACATAAAACAAAAAAAAAAAAAAAACAAGTAGAAGGAATTACTTGCTGTCGCATTTATAATTACAAGCCCATAATTTTCAAATGACAGCCCACTGAAAAAAGTTTATACTGTTGAGATTGCTTTTACTACTTTTAAGCTACTGGTCTCAACTCACAGAGCTAATCTCATGTTTAGTTACACATCCACTGGTAAGGATATTTTTACTATTTAGACCATCAGCCTGAAAAATAAGGGGATCCAAAATGAGCACTTCCAGGACCAAGATTATGCTGATGTCAGGAGAAAAGGTTATTCCTCTAAGGTCATGAGGAGATAGACACAGAAGCTTTGTGTCATGCCGAAGTTATCCTCTAAGATCAGAGCAGTGATATCTCCAGGCAGAGGTTTTTTCCTCAGTGTAATCCAGCAGCAGATGATGCAGAAATTACAAAACAGGCCCCCTATGAAATTTACATTCAAGCAGGCTGAGTGACAAAGCAGAAAATTAAATAGTTTTTCTTCTCTCTCTGCAATCCCTGATCTCTCTGGATATCAATTTATTGCCTTTTCCTTGTGCCATACATTTCAGGCCCCTTCCATTCCTCCTCAGTTTTTATCTTCTTTATGGAACCTATGTGCTGTCCTGAACTGTTATGGGCAACTGGCCTCACTTTTTTTTTGGGTACTTCTTTGGAAATAAATAGTTCTGTGTACCTGCAGTTTTATTTCTCTGGTCATTTTAAGGAACAAAGGTTTCTGTGGAGGTCACTGAATGGGTGATCCTGTCCAGAAGAAAAAGGTCTATGGTGTGTTGAAATGATAATCCACAGATTCCCAGTGTTAACCAAACTATTGAGACTATAGCTCTCCAGCTGAGCATTAAGATAAGGTGGATTGTCTCATTTGCTTGACATGTACATAAGAATCTAATAAATACCCACATAATTTTTTTTCCTGATGTTCTTGCACTACCAGTTACATTCTCTTTGTTTTCTATGGTGTGAAATTGTGGTGGCAGTGACCATGGTGCTTAACTGTTCAAATTTAACCAAGATTTAAAGAGGTAGTGCTGACAGAAATGATGCTGTCCCTACTTGCACTTGATGGGACTTTTTCTAATTAATTCTCCTAAAACAAATGGTAGTGAAATAGAGGGGCCATTGTAAACAGCATCATTGTCCCTGAAATCCCAGAAATTGATCACTTTCAGTTTTACAGGGAAGTTGTTGATGACCCTGGATCTACCAAAATATTGATAATCTCTTTATAATTTTGAACTTTTCATTGTCCATTTTAAGCATTGGGAAGGAAGTAAAATAACAATTTCAGCTGTTTTTCATTTCCATGGATTCCTGTGAAATAGTTTGTTATGCACACATACACTTCAAATGTGTTAATTTTGATCTTGAAAGGACTATGCAAATAGGTTTAGAATTATTTACATGCCTTTCTCTCTATATTTATGATTTATGTAGACTTTTGAAGAATTTACCTGATGTTGTGTGCATACACATAAATACAGAAAGAGATGTGTCAGTATTCATTTAAAATATAGAGTAAACATTGATTAAAAAGTTAAATGCTACCTGAATTGCTAATTTTAATGCTGTCACTTTGATTTTAATGCCACTTCAAGATCAAATGGTTATAATGGCCATTTTTTTTGGTTTGCTACAATCATTGCAGTTCAAAATTTTGAGACAGAAACATATTACTTTTGTAAGTCAAGTGGAAGGTGAAGGGTAAAATTAGTATTAGATTGTATGTAAGAAAAAAAATCAGGGCTTAGCACTTTGTGAGAATAAAATTATTTTAGCACACATTTAATATTTCATTGTAGTCAACAATGGGCATAAATTCCAAATGGCAGTGGATGTGATAATTTTCTGGAACAAATGGCTAAGAGCAATTTACAGTCTGCACAGTCTTTGGCAACATCACAGAGAGTTAATGCAAGTGGAGTGTCAGGAAAGGAAACACGACAGAGAGCAGCAAACTGGACAGGCTCCAAGATGCTCATTAACCATGTGACTAATCTTAAAATGAATACATAATGCAAACGAGATGCGAGAGCAGCTTCCTGTTTTGGTGAGATATCACTGCATGAGATTGTGTCAAATGAGCAGTTGAGGGCATTAAGGCTGTGTCAATGTCAAACTCTAATTGAAATGGGTGTGGGATGGAAAGCACTCTAGCATTAAGCACATGAATTTCCATGAGGTCCCCTAACGAACTGGTGCATTCACTAATGCATCAAATAAAATGCATTTACTCATCTTTAATAAGGTGTTGGAAGTGTGAGGTTGAATTTCAGACAGAAAAATGTAAAATGTAGCTGGAAATACTCTAGCTTTAGATAATGCATACCAAAAAATATCTGTGATATAAAGATTGTATCTGATTTGAAGGTACAATAATGAAAAAGTATAAAGCAAGGGAAATACAAACTCATTAAAAATTAAAGAAGACAAAGGTGGGACACATCTGGGGAAAGGCATCTTGCCACAAAAGTTTTATTCACATTTATATTTAGGGTGCAAAAAGTTTCTATAACATTTCTGCTCTTGTATAAAACAAGAATGCATGTGCAGACCATCACTAAATTAATTCTCATTCTCTTTCTTTATATCAAAAATAAATATTTAGATTGGACTGAGCATGTCACAACTGGATTTGAGCCCCAAAATTTTTTTTTTCCTTTTTTTTTTCTTTTATTCATCATTCTTCATATATTTATTGGCCTTATCTGAGATGGCATAAGAAACTCATATAAAATGATCAATTTTTCTCCAAGGACTCTCTCCCAAGGGTATTCACACTGATTATGTAGATGTAGCAATATTGCCTCTATTTTCCATATTCATCATTGTTCAAACAAGAAATGAAGAATGTACAAAAATACTGATGCATGCCTTTGAACCATATTCTTAAAATTGTGTTTTTATTTTTCATTTTGCCGTCTGTTGGTATTACTTGCATTATTAAGAGATTAATAATCACTTTTGGTGTAAAACAATTTTACTTAGGTATATCAAAAAAAGCAGAAGTTATGAATTCTCTGTTTGACTAAGGCTCACATTTAGACATCCCAATTATAAATACTGCACATGAATCATGTATCTTGGTTCCAGTTATATGAGATTCAAGGAGATTTAGGAGTGGAGATTCAGTTCTTTTCTCACTTCCTTTATCACAGTTTGTGGGAGCCATTTGAAATCCCCTGGAGCGTGTCCAGAGAAGGGAACAGAGGTGGGGAAGGGTCTGGAGCACAAGTCTGATGAGAAGTGACCAAGGGAGATGAGGGGGCTCAGCCTGGAGAAGAGGAGGCTCAGGGGGGACCTTGTGGCTCTGCACAGCTCC